ACACAGAAGAAAAAAAATCAAATGAAAAGAGATCGAGAACATAGAAATAATGAAACTTTGTTTTGCGCTATTCAATCGTGAGAGGAAGTATTGACATTGTAGACTTTAGTAGCATAAATTTGTCGACAATTCTGATGGGAATGGCTGGTGATTTCTAATTTATTGTTCACCTAGATTATGCTTGGGGGTTGTCTGGGAAGTTTTGATGGAAATTTTGATTGATAGTTTGGCTATAGAAAATGAGTTTGGTAGCATTTTGAGGCACAGAAGCTTTGAAGTACTTTCTAGGAGCTCTAAAAGCTACTTAGCGTAGAAGAGTGATGAAAGAATGGCAGTTTAGTGTAACTAGGTGACAAAGCCAGCTTGGCAACACTGTATTGAGCGATTAGCAACGAAAAAACTAGATTTCAGTTCATTTCTGCCATTTCCACTAGTCTATCCTAATCAATTGAATTATTTCGCTTAAAACTATTCCTCAATTTCCCAAAATCAACTCAATCCAGCCACAATTCAATCGAATATGACAATCACAGCATGAAAATGTCTAGACTTCTTCTCTATTCCACCATAAGCTGATTAATATCCAATTAATTACATTTTAATTAAAAACACACGATGTAAATCAATCGATTGTCAGTAACATATGTGATAATGTAAAAAAAATTATTAATAACCTGATGATTATAGACTAATTAATTGAGTAGCTTTTTAATTAATTAGTAACGTTTTTTTTTTCCTGGAGAGCAATCAACAATAATGAAGTGATTATTATCGCTGATTTTTTGTGGGTGAGTGGATATTAATAGGGTAAAAAGATTTGCAGTTTCGGATTACACGCGCTTGAATGGAGCAGATTTATGAAAAGGGTGCAAAAAATTGTATTGAATGAATTAGAATTAAGTGGCAATTTGTAGAATAATAGCAGGAGGAAATGAAATGTTTGTTTGGTTCTATGTCTTTTGGATGGTTTACGTTGCTATAGAGATTTTTTTAAATAAATTCAATCTGCAAACATCTTTTTTCATTCATTATATTTCTTCATCCCCCGCCCCCCCCCCCCTCTTCCTCGTCCCTTTTAAAATTCTAACCTCAAAACTTAAAAAAAAATTCTTACCCAGCCATCCATAGAAATGAATATATTCGCTAATGAATTCGTACAAAAACAACAACTTCACCTAAATTTCAAGAAGAGTAAAAGGTTCTTAATAGGATTAAATCAGCGAGATTCTCCTTGAAAATTAATTAGACCATTATGTCTTAAAAAAAAACTTTTGCTTCTTTTCAATTAAACATTCTTAGCGCATTTTCTTATCAAAAAATGAAGCTAATGTCCGCACTTTATCTGTGTATCTGTTCGTCTGCCTGTCTGTACTTCTGTCAAGCTATCTCCTCCTACAGTTTAAGCTTTTTGATGCGGTCTTAGATTTATGATGTGTATTAAGTCTGGCAAGTGCTGCTCAAAAAATCAAAAAAATTGGTGCACTGACGCCATTTTGGATTCCAAGGGTGGGAATATTATTTTTAATATTTCTTTGCAAATATTTTTTGAACGTTATTTTTCAAATATTTTTTGATATAATTTTTCAATTGTTTTAAATTTTTATGATTTAATTATATACTCGAATTCTGTGCAGAGAAATTGCGCTTTCATCGGTCACGAGAGACCACCTTGTTACTAGTTTTTTCTTAAAGAGGATTTTTTTTTTCTCTCGCAAAATTTCCTGGGGGTCTTACACAAACTTATGACATCCACCTTTACAGAAAAAGCGATTGAAAAATACTGTCAACTTCGGACTTCAATCTTACCTTAAAGCTTGATGCTATAATTAAATATCTCTATTTATTGAGAGATCCTTAACCACCTTTTTTGACTCAACCATCAAATTGCTCCTCTTAAGATGCTTTTTAAAGCTTAATTATTAGCACTTTTACATAGCATTACGTGATCTGCTGCAACCTTTTGAAATATTCAAAATAAGGCCAAGCATTTTTCATCTTCTCTCATTTCCAACGTCCTCGATTTTAATGCACTTAATCTCCACTCTAATGAATGCATCAAGTCTCATCAGCTCTGCATGATTTCATCAAAGCTTAATCTGATGAATCACTTGCATTTTATCACTCAAGCAAGCAAGGATAACAAAAAACTAATTAAATTACTTCATCAACTGCTTTATTGTTGTTGAAAAGAATCTCAACGTGATGTGAAGGACTTCAAGTCCAATTCTCTATTTTATAACATAATATGGAAAAACTTAAGACTTTCTTTGATCTTCTCATACACAATTCATAGCACATAAAAGTCATTTACCTTCGGAATATTCAAATTAAAATATCAAAGGAAAGAATGAAGATGGTAAATTTATTTGTGTAGACGCAAATGAAGAGGAAGATGAAGTAGAGTTGTATTATGAAGGAACTGAAGCTGACCATAAAGAAATATTCAATACAAACATCCTCTTCCTCTATGTGAATTGACTTCTTTTTTTTGGGGTTTTCTGATGTTAAGTTTAGAATGTAAATGTTGTGTAGAATTTTGAGGATGTTCATTCAGTTGGACTGTATTGGGACAGATGGGCCACTTCAATGAAGAGTAGAGGCTCTCCTTCATTAAGAGCACTAGTTGTTAAATTTCTATAGTCGATCAATCCGGCACCAATCAGGTGTGGATTTAATCAAAGCCAGCACCATGCCATCTTAGCACCAGATTTCTATTCAATTAACCAACTTCTGCTATTCGAGAAATACCACCGTGACATAAAGAAACAAAATAAAGTCGCTTCCTAACCTCAACACCCCAATAACTTTCCAACTTTATCCATTTCAAAAATATTTTTTTTACATGAGAAATCACTTCGTTTGTTGGTGGGTAAAGCATAGAATATATTAGTAGTAATATACATCCTCAAGTTGTCATGCAAGTCTCTTTCCTCATATCTATGTGTTTAGATATATAGCACACAACTGTTTGCATACATGAATCTTCTAATGTAGTGAATGAAAAATGTACAACAAAATCTACCCGCAAGCAATGCAATCTTTTCCATCTATTCTCTCGGATTTTTTTTTCTGTGTGATATATTCTCATGTTCTTGCGGTGATTTGTGTCAGCATTTGGCTTTAGATTGTATGATTTGTGGATGTTGGAAATTTTAGGAGAAATGGCTTGGGGTAAGGTTGGATTTATTGGGATGAAGATCGTGTTTTATTGAAGTTTCACAGGCAGTGGTGGCAAAACATTCAATTATGAGAGGTTATGCGATCTTGTGATGATTTTGAACGGGATAGGGCAGGGGTTCTCAACCTTTTTAAAAGAGCTTAAAAATGTCTCATGTTTAAGTTTACGACGTCGATTTATTTTCCTAGACTTACCTAAAGATTAAAGCAGCGTGTCGAGAACCAAAGTTTGAGAAACACTGGACTAATGTTCAAGCTAAGACAAATTAGAATTATTCTGAAAAAGAATCCGTATAGACTCACCTGAAGATTTGAGCAGTGTGTCGAGAACCAAAGTTTGAGAAACACTGGACTAATGTTCAAGCTAAGACAAATTAGAATTATTCTGAAAAAGAATCCGTATAGACTCACCTGAAGATTTAAGCAGCGTGTCGAGAACCAAAGTTTGAGAATCACTGGACTAAGGTTAAAATTTAGAAAAGTTGGAAAACTGTTTCCTTCCCAATATTCCAACAAGAATTCTCACAAAATCATACATAAAGGACGACCACAAATTCACCACACTATGTATTGTAAATTGCAGCTACTCGAAATATGAATTTTAAAAAAAGAGAAGAAAAAATTTGTCACAAAAACTTTCTTTCTCCCAGGGATGAAAATAAGGAAGGACTGGGAGTCGGAATAACGAAGAAAAATGACTAAACGTGTGAGTCTATGCATAATGTGCAAATGTTTGCAAAACACTCACTATGGTTATTGCAGTTTCATGCTTACTTCCGACAATTGCTTTGTAAATTCTCCCTGATATTTACGATGCACAGAAGCTCTTTGCAAGCATGTCTCCTTAATGGATTTTTCATTGCCCAAAGCTATGTGCCGTAATTAAACATTTCTGTCACTTTTTTTTGCTCTCATTGAATTTTCATTCATGTCCTCAATTTTTTCAACAACAGTTTCTGTGCTGCTTTATGGCACTCAAGAGAAAATAATTTTTTTTTATTAAATTGTGGATTACGTCAATAGAATGGAATCAGATAAAATGTGTACAACACATATATCATTGTGCAACATAATGAAGAGAATTGGATGGAAAAGTTTCAGACTAAGTTCTCAGTTAAATGTCTTCTTCGTTGCTTTATTTGGGATTTTGGTTTATTGAGTTTTTGGGGATTGTTGCTGGTTGTTGAGCTTTAGTGGCTCAGTGGGGTACTGGTCTGGTATGTTGGTATATGAACATTGCTGCATTGGAGCACAATAATCGTAAGTTTGAGTCTATTATTTCCAGTTTGTAATAGTTTTGAAACAAGTCTGCTTGAAATTGGTACAATTAGCACAATGGCTGCTTATAAAGCTGGCACTAGTCATGTATTATTTAAAAACAGTTCCAGACATGACTAAACAATGCAACTCATGTGAGATTGACTTCCAATCATAATAATCAATGGTTAAGCAGCATTAAAATCTAAAATTATAATTTTACCGATTTTCAATAAACCTCCAAATCTCTACACTAAGCGACATCATTCTTCAGTAAGTAAATAATAAGTAAGTAAGCATGTATAAGAAAAATATCTCGAACAATTGTCATGAGAATCACAATCATGATAAAAAAGAAGAAATCAAACACAAAAGACTAGAATGAAAAAAAAGTTCTTTTCTCCATCTCAATTTCGGGGTATAGAAATGGGAATTGATGGGATATAATAATGGGTAGCAACATCTGTGATTTCAATCTCGCAAATTAATCACACAACAAAACATAAGTAATTCGCCTTTGATTACTCATTTTTTTCATTCTCTTTTTCATTCTTCTTTTGTTACAGTTACAAAATTCATTCGCACTGGAATTGCTGATAAGGAAGATTATCCTCTATTCTTCGAGAAAGCATTTTACGAAACAGAGGTCGATGAAAATGAGGAAATTAATCATCCGATACTTACAGTTACAGCTCGAACGCACAATGAATGTGAGTACATTTCTATATTTCTTTTTGGTATTTCTTATTTTTTGGCACATTTAATTGAATTGGATCTTGGAATAAGAATTTTATTTTGACTATGTGGCACTTGAGAAGGAGATGTAGGATCAGTAAAATGAGGTTCGTTTTACATAAATCGGTTAATCGATCAGAAATCCGGAACCAAGCTGGTTTGACACTGGCATGGTTCTGGATTTAAAACGAAGCCGTACCATGCCAGAGTCAGGCCGATTTGAGGTTGATTTCTATTCGATTAACCGACTTGTGCTTTTCTGGACAGTGGTTGTCAACCTTTTTTGTGCCAAGGCACTCCTTCAAGTTATGACTGAAACTGCACACGCTTATGGGATCTATAGAACTTTTTCGTGGCACATGGGTTGGCCATCACTGCAATAAATCAGTGTTGTCCAAACTGTGTGCCGTAGAAATTTTTGAAACAGATACGAGCCGCATGCTGTGTGCGACTTCGGTTATAGCTCACCCCTCAGGTGTGCCGTGGCTCAAAAAGTTTGGACAACACTACCATAGACGAATCTACTCATCCCTTCACCAAATCATCCCCTGCCTACGCGTCAATTTTACGAGCAACAAATTGATTTATAGGACTTGGTAGCATGGTGATGTTGCTGTGTCATTTAATTTATCTATCGCCAAAGCTGTCATGTAAACTATCGTGCTGCTAAGAAAACTTAAGGTTGATCAGACGGCGATGACTATGTCTTTATGGCTCGGGTTTATATTCCATCTAAAGTGAAATTCACTTTGATAGCAATTGTCAATCACAGCCAATGGCATTTAATCAGTCGATAGACGTCATTAATGAGGAACTCCTTAAACAAGCCTCCATCTTAAAAAATGCTCATAAATCCCCAACAACATCCCAACTATCATTCAAACTTGCAACATTTTGTTATCCTCATGGAATTTATGACTTGGGACTTTTATGATGATGTGAAATGGAATGGATGAAATTATAGATGATGAAAAGGAAAGAAAGAGAGAATAAATTAAGGAACAGCATGAGAGAAATGAGCTTCAAGACACTTAATGAGGCGCAATTTTGAGCTCTTGTAATGAAAAAGATGCGATAAGTTTTTTCTTTACGGACGAGAAATGGTCCGAGGGAGAACTTTTGATCATAAAAAATTCACAAAGAGTTCCATTCATCACAAATTTTTTTGACGCCTCACAAAATTTTTCATTTATTTATGTTGGTGGGTGGTTGAGTTTAGGGGGTCGTTGGGAATGGGTAGGATCTTGAGTTCTTAGACAGACAGCTCGTAAAAAAATTAATTCTGTAGAATCTGTGGTATCCAACCTTTTTTGTGCTAAGGCATACGGTTCGTGGGATGTTCCAACTTTTTTCACGGCACACGGGTTGACCATCACTGCTGTAGATTCTGACATTCAATTCATTCTAATAATTTTTCAAAAAATAAAAAAAATATCATAAACATTGTTATTTTGTTCCCATCCATGAGACACCTACACAAGAATATCCAGCATCAAAATTTAAAATTTTAATGAGCCACCTCGTTGAATGTGAAAGTTTAATTTGTTTTTATTATTATTATAAAAAAATTACGTTGAAAAGACAAAAAAGGGAAGCATTAATTTAATATTCAGTCAAAAACAAACAGAATAACTTGTATGTGATAGGGAGGAAGGATTGAAAATGAAATGAAAAGCGAAAAAGTTTTAAATGTAAATAAAAGTCACAAAACATTTATGATGAAAGTAAAAAGAAGACAAAAAGTTTTTTGTGAAATTTTGAGGGGGAGAAATGGAATCAAATGTGCGTAATGTCTCTTGATTTGAATGAGCTTTTGGGGCTGTGAGGAAAATTAAAGAAATAAATTTTATTGGATTGTAAAATTGTGAAATTTGACTTTTCTCGTGACTTTTTGACTAGGGACGTAAGGGGGGGGGGGGGTTCTAAGTGCCCCAGCTCTTTGAATGTCTTCATGTTTGATTTTTCTTCATTTTAAACCAATTTCATCCCCCTTCTCGTTAAATTTTAATTTAAATATTTTTGAGCACATAAACTTAACGGACATTAAGGCAGGAATTTTTCAAGGGGGGAGGGGTGAGGAGGAGTGCCCAAAAAATTTTTTTTATTGTCAAAAATCAATGTAAACCTTCTCTATTCGATTATTAAAAACTAATGTTATTATTCTTGCTTTAATCTAATTAGCTCTTGTTAATTAACGGGCACTTAAGGACCCCCCCTTCCCTGGGCAAGTCCTTGCATTCCGGTTATGCAACATCGTAGGAAAATGGCTTTTTGTGCATATAAAATCCTATTATTCAACAGCAATTCGTAATTAATTAAAAAGCATGAAAACCGAATTAAAAGCCTTAAATAATTCCTGCAATGATTTAAAATGAGCAAAAAACTAGTTTGGATAATTTTAAAATTTCAGATAAAAATGACATCAAATTGACATGCGTAATTAACATTTTTCAAAAATTATAATTAAACTTCCAATTATATAAGTCAATTGATGAATTGGTTTAGAAACTGAATATACTTTTAAGCATACCAAAACTAAGCAGTTGTCATGCAAATAATTCCAATTCGTATAACATACTTTGTAATGAATGAAGTTCATAATTAGTTTTACAGAAAATTTCATAACTGCATCAATGTGGGATTTCAAAACGTGCTCATCAGGGGCGTTAACAGAGAAGGGGGGAGACTATAGTTCAAACCTCCATACAAAAATTTCCAACCTCCAATGAGCCTCTGGAGCTCATATACGAAAAATTAATATTTCAACCTCGATTCCAATTCCCACAACTCAATCCATCTGATGCGCAAATTTCTTATTTTATTTATATTTCATTTTCTCCCTTTTTTATTTCCAATCGTAACGATTGAATTGATGTTGACGACGATGATGATGACATAAAAGCTATGGCTGTAAACTTTTTTTTTTGTTTACAATATTCCCTTTGTCGAGTGATGTTGACTCAACCCCCCATTTTCTCATTCATTTATTAGCAATAGAGCTGTAAATAAATATTTGAAGTGATCCCATTGAATTGCGTACTTACTGTTACATTTTATCCGTTCTGGTGATAAATATGATGGGAGGTGATGGAAGATGGTGGGATGGTGGGAGATGATTTAATTGAAGAATAATAGGGACTTTTTGGTATCGACTTCAATCTGTGATCGATTAAAATTGATGACACTTTTTGAAAATAAAATGCAATTTTGTACTTAAACCTCAGATTTTTCTGTCTAAAACAGGAAAGAAAGTTGATTTAAACCTCAAGATTAGATTTGATCTCGAGATTCATCTCTGAGTAGATAACTGTGTTGTCTGAGAAGAATGGAATCTTAGGTATCGAGCCATATAAAGGCGATTCTGCCTGTTAAAGAGCTATGCTTCTGTGCCGCTAGTTATTAGGCAACAGACCTGTTATATTTAACCTTCTTTAATAAGGACGTGAGTTCAATTCCCAACAAAGATCTGAGTTTTGATTTGAAAAAGGATTCGCACAATGCTCAAGATATTAACAATAACTAGATCCGAATGTATACAGCGTAAAAATGACTGTGTGGATTTAATAAAGTCAATTTCTGGTGCCACGTTCATGTCGTCGTGGCTCTTTTGGAAGAAAACTTACCTATTTTGTAACCATAATATTGTATGACATTAAATTCAATGGACGCTAGCTCAGTGTATAGCGCACAGTCTTTACTAAGCAGTTGTGTGTCCAGCACCAATTAAAAACTATTATAGATCTTACAACTAGTGTTCATGTCGGCTCTCGTTCCAAATTTCAGTAGGTCACAATGTTTCCAGGTGTGTTCTAGTAAAAGCCCTTCATGGTGAATTTACGGCTCTCGTTTGCTTTTTATGCAAGCCTCTCTCCTCCTCCCCTCACCTTTCTTCTTCCAAATCCTCAAATCATAAAATACGAGCAGAACCCTATAAAAAATTATCACCTAAAGTTCTTCAAACTCAAATAATAGCTTTGTGAAATCAATACTTATAGTGAAGTTTCCATCAACGATGAGCATAATAATAAACATTCTCATTGTTAGAGGAGATTAAAGCACTTCCAACACTTTTTTTATGACACCGTTTCACTTTTCTGTCTTCTCTTTTGTTTTTGCTTTTTTGGAGAAGTGGGGCTGATTTGTTTTTTTGAGTTGATTTGAGGGTAGAATTGGGTCAGATTGGGGTCCAGACTTTGATCAATTTTACTAAATTATTCTATCGAATGGCACAAGTTGGTTAATCAAATAGAAATCTAGTTACTAAGCCGGTTTGACTCTGGCATGGTGCTGGCATTTAAATCGAAGCTTGAACCATGCCAGAGTCATGCAAGCATGGCGCCAAATTTCTGTTCGATCATCCGACTTGTGTTATTCGGACCTATTTTAAGGTAGGATATCAAAAGACTGTCAAATCTTAAAATAAGCTGTTTTCTCCCTGAAATACTGCGCCACTTAACCTCAAAGACCCCAAAATCTCACCAATCAACCTCCCAATTTCCCTCCATAGTAAATTTTTTTTTACTATCGCAAATAAAAACAAATAATAAAAATTTTTTCTTGTTTTGTTCATGCTGATATTTTATGTGTCAGTGATATAGTAAATAATACGGAAAATTTTGTGTCATTTATTTTCAGTACGATTTTTTTTTGTTTTACTATTTTCCTTCCTCATTTATACTTATCGTGTTGTTTGTCTAATATTTCAAGAGACAAATGAAAAGAAAATTGAGTTCAAAGAGATATAAACATTAAGTCTATTTGATGATAAATATTCTATGAACCATCTTTATTTTAGCTCATCACAAAAAATAAAAGATTTCTTGTCTGATGATTTTGTCTTTTGTTTTATTGTGTTAAGGGGTGGCTATTAAGGATGGGTGGGGTTGTTGTGATTTTTAAATGAGAAAACTTGATTTTTTAAATAAAATGGAGTAGAATAACATTAATTTGAATATAAATGAGATTTTTTTGATGGAGTTATGGGGTGATGAGCTCTAATTTGTGGATTTTGAGTCAGATTGTTACATTTTTATATAAATTTTGATGAAGTGGAGACAATGATTTGTTAAAATGGTAGTGGGGGTGATTGAAAGGATGACAGAAGAATTTTACTAGGTTTTCTTACATTATTGGACTCTATTACTACATCACTTACCAATAGATACATGCAACAGTCTTTAAACTACTTAAATAATGCACAAGTTTTAAAATTTTCATGACACTTAACCCCAAATCATCCCAACTAATCCAATTCAAATCACTTTCATTAAAACTCTTCAAAAATAAAAATTACAAAAGTCCACGTGTTTTCGATCGAGGGACTTTAGCGCATTTTTGACGCAGCGATCAATATTTAACTGGTTAATTAACATGGATTCAGTAGTAAAATACAGCAAATTTTTTTAACGGCAGAAATAAATTCGAATTTCTAAACGCTCTCATCACGTGTTTTTTCGTATGAAATATAAAAATCATTAATTATAATACAAAAACACTGTTTCAAGACTTTTAAATGCGATTCCCCGAAATAAAACAATGGAACCGAGCTAATAAAACAAACTAGAACTCTCTACGATGTCTAGTTAAAAAGTTTTTCTCCACCCGAACGAACAAACAAAGTGAATTATTAAGCTACCTTTTCGAAATAATTTTCAAAAATGCGCTAAATACAATTTTTCATCCAACTCACCACGTGATTTAATGAAATCATTGAACTAAACCTTATAATAGAATGTAATTAAAATGCTTTTAACCACTTGGGGGTATGAAAAAAGTTTATGAACTGAATGTGGTGAATTACTATTATTTCATTCAGTTGAATTGACTAATTAGATCCTGTGATTTTACTACAGCTATTGAACATCCATTCAGCTAGAATTTTTCAATTTAGTTTTATTATTGAACTATGCAATTGATGGAAGAACAGGAACTTATTTGAGTATGCATCACTTTATGCATAGGAGAATATTTTAATGCATTCGAAAAAATTGAGTATGCAAAAATTTTATAATTAATAAAGTTTTCCCATCATTATTATTTATTCATGAAGAAAAGTGAAATATTTCATTTTAATACTTTGAAAATATTTGAAGAGCTGCTTTGGAGGTTGTTCATTTGAAGGCTGTCTATAGGTTTTTATCGATTTCTCATTGAAAAGTGGGACATTTCCTGATTACAGTTATGATGGTTGCTGATCGTGTGCTTGACCTCGTTATTAGGGAGGTCAAAGAGGTCATTGTTTTTGAGCATTTTCAAAGGAACTGAGTGAAATGGAAGTAACTTGATTTTCACTTCTACTGAAGGAAGTAAATCTAATTTTAATATTACAAAATCCTACAACAGAAAAAAAAGGTTAAAAAAAGTGGGGAATTGAAGTTGAAGTTGAACAGCCTAATTTAGAGATTTTATGATGAAAAGGATTGAGATTGACTCTGACAGTTTGTATGAAAGTGTCAAACAGTATCTGACCTACCTACCTTCCCTGACAGTATAACGACTCATGGTTAAACAATTAGTTGCAAATCTAGGATCTACTAGAACAACTAGGATCAACTTTAGATAAGGTGACCAGATATTTTTTGAAAAACCAGAGAACCTGAAATTAAAATAGAGGACATCCCACGTCTCTACCAATTTTATTCGTTTTCTGGACGAATTTGAACAAAACAAAACTGTTTTATTTTTTGAAAAATGATTTGTCCTCTGAAAAACCAAGCAGATGGTCAGTCTGACTATAGATCGCAACTAAGAGTCTCCCAGATAGAAGAGGGTTATCCGTATCAGACTGTCGTAACTCTGGCAGAGTGTTTGATTCGATTTGAGTCCAGCACTAGGTCATACTTGGTGCTGGATTTCTATTCGATTAACTGACTTGTGATATTCGGGAATATTAATAGCTAGCTAAGTTCCTGGGTTAACCCCTCGTCAAATAACTTGGTTGATCGTTCATCCAAAAAGACACAAAAACTCATATATTTGACTTTAAACTCTTCAGAGCATTGAATCCTAATTCCGTTTTCTGACAAAACTAAAACTAGTTCAAACTTCCATTTTCATCATGAAAACCCAGATGAATCAACTAAAAGAAGAAGCTACAAAAATGCAAATCGAAAATTTATTTGAACTCATTCTCCATAAATGTGCTAAGGGTTTCAATTCAATTTACCAGATAATAGTGAAATGTGGTTTAAAACATAGAAAAAAAAAGTTTTTCATTTCGATCAGCATTCGTTCCATTTCATCCCGTATGAGAAAATTTTTTAGAGCAGTTGAATAATCACATTTTTGTTGTTATGCTGATGTAATTACTATTGACTTGTTAAATGGTACAGTTGAAGGATGTTGAGCACCAAATTAAAATTTATAGCAAGTTGTTTACGAAAGTTGAAATGCTGAAAAAGAAAAAGTTTTAATTTGAGGATTTTCTATAGCATAATAAGTCAAATGGAACCACTACATGCGATGTTCTCATATCTCAATGAATTACTTTATTCTGACATGTTGAAGTTTGCTTTGTAAGGTTTGAATTTCCTATCCTCTGGTTCTTTTGTTTACAACAAGCATAACCAAATTTATTTGTATTCTGTAGTAGCAAAAGTTTTATTGAGGATGTTGTTTATGATGCGGCGTTTTAGATTTGAGGGATGTGCTCTGATTTTTTAATAATGATTTAAGTTGTCATAATCTAAGAGGAAGTTGAAAGGGCAATGTTAGGTGACTTCTGCAACCCTTTTGAGTCATCCATGCCTATTAGATCATCACATAATCATCACGGCAGCTTCATATCAACTTAGTTGCTTTGTTGACTATGCTGCAATGCCAAGGAACTCAATTCTTAAGATTCAACTAAGTTTGACTCAAGAGGATCCAGAATTGGATTAGTTGGAGAGGTTCCAAGTAAGAATTAACCTCAAAGGATCTATGTTTGGTTACTTCCTTGGCTGGGGTGCATGTGCCCCTAGTGCAGCGCTTAGAGATCGTTTAAAGACAGCTTTATCCTTAGAAACCTTCTGCGAGTTCGGGATATTAAGGACTCCAACGTCCTTTTTTCAACACATGGAGTTGGACATAACTTGAGAGAATTTATCTTTTATCTTAATTTATAAATGTCTAGCCGTCATCCTAACTTGATTCAAGACGATCTTAATTTCCCTTCATATAAAAGCTAACATCCTGCCAAATCATAAACTTCCTTACTTGCCTCACAAGCACATAAATCGATATAACATACAAACTTTTCCTTATCATCATTTTCCCAAAAAAAAAATTCTCATTCGTATATAAATAAATTTATTGTCTGAGCTTGTTCCACTCATCCATCCATTCATCCACATACATCGACATTGTTCGGCTACGATCCATACGAATGTGCCAATAATAAAGTTTATCGTTTTGACTTTTGCTTCTCGATTATTTGTGACATTTCCTCATAATAATTTTTCTATTTTTATTGTCTGTTTTCAGCATCTCCTGTTCAGTATAAAATAAGTAGTGGTAATAGCGACGGAACGTTCCGTATCCATAACACAACGGGTCAAATTTTTATAGCCTGCGCACTCGACTATGAGAAAATCAAAAAAGTAAGTATGACCCTTTTTTCATATTATTTTTTATTATTTCTTGTGTCATCGCAAGGATTTTTTCCTTCTGTGATTTCTTTTCTGTTTTCATGCTCATTTGAGCTCTAATTGCTAATTTTTTTTTCTGTGCTCCTTTCATCAACCAACCGTTCAGTGAATTTTTTTGATGGAAAAAAGATTTATTCATGCAGAAAATTTGCTGATAATTTACGCTTTTTTACGATCAAATATTGAAAGAAATTTATGGTTTTTTTTATTTTCAGTACGAGCTGCGCATTACAGCGTCCGATAGTTTTAAGGAAAACTACACAACGGTTGTGATAAACGTTAGAGATGTAAATGATAATTCTGTAAGTTAAAAAAGTAGCAAACTTGAGTCTTACAAAAGCTAATAAAATTTATTTTACAGCCAATTTTCGAAAAAACTTCATATCGTACACAAATCACCGAAGAGGATGATCGTGCTCTTCCAAAGCGAGTACTAAAGGTGAGCATTGCTTATTAAAAATTCATTGCTGTAAATATTATATTACTATGTGCGAGAGAATAAAGGAAAGAAGATGAACAACAAGAAGTAAAGAAAGAAAAATGAGAAAGTTTAGGGTAATTGCTTTAGTGGATGATGTGAGGAGTAGGTGGTCAGTTTGGGGGGATGTAAATATTACAATAAAAACAAGGTCAATAGTGTGAAAAACAGATAATTCTTAAAACATAATTGAAAACACCAGAAAATCCACCTTTTGTCATAGGACGTCACAAAACTAGTAAGGTTATTATTACAGTTCTCCGTGCAAATCGCTTGAAACGGACTGGACATGTGTTTAGACGTCAAGAGATGCCCCAGTGCTTAAAGTGACTTTTGCAGACTTTATAGATGGCAAGAGATCTAGAGGAAGACCAAAGAATACCTGGATTGGATGTTGATAAGGACGTAAGAGTCCTTAATACAAGGCGTGGAAACTCCGGATTAATCCTGAAAATATAAAATCCCTTTTAAATCCTTGATGCGTTTGATGAATCATTTTGAGAAAGATTTTGTAGGATTTTTTGAGATTTTTCAAAATTAATCCTGAGTTTAAACGCCTTGCCTTAATATCCCAAACTGGCAGAAGGTCTCTTATGATAGAGCTGTCTTTAGACGATCTCTGAATTGGACCACGTGCGCCCCAGCCAAGGAAGTAAAGTAATAAACTAGTAAGGACATATTCGGCTAGCAAATTGAAGAACAACTTATGTCCACTCCTTAATTCCTTGGCTGAGGCGCACGCGGGTATCCTTATTGAATTCAGAGTTCATAAAAAACTGGCTCTATTCTTTGGCAACTTCTGCCAGTTTATAATTTCGAGCACATTTGTATCGTTGTTTACACAACCTTTCGATGGGTTCTCTATTTCTTACCATCCAAAAGTTCAGCTGATCTACCCTAGACCTTAATAAATCTCTTGTTCCACCAAAAAAACTTGTAAGTGTTTAAAAATGCTCCAAGTTCCCTCCATCAATATACTAATCTCCCAACTTGCTCTACATATTCCAATTCTTTACATAATATGAGTAAAGACTCTGATGCTGGCAGCTGTTCCGCTTTTATTTCCTTTGAATAATTAACATAGATGTTATAGAAAGATTCTATTTTCTGGTTTTAACTATGACGATAGGTCTTAAGGCTACATCTTGTTGAAAAACGAGGAAAAAAAAAATAAAATAAAAAGAAGGTGACGGTCGTGTTAGGAAGACTGAGCAGAAATAATGAAGAGAAAGAAAATTAAAGAGCTTTTCATCTTTCGACCGGAAATTTCAATATTAATTCGGGGGGGAAAAAATTTTAAATGTGAATTTCTTTTGTGTGACGATATTTTATTATTTTTCAATTAAACTTTTCATCCGATTAAAAATTGATACGATTTGAATGCAAAAAGGTTCAATTTGATTTCAATAATAATACCAAATAATACTGTGGCTATTTATGGGCTAGTGTGGGAAGAAGAGTCATGAATATTGCCTCCAAATCACCTCCTGCAACTGATCTTCGTTCATGTAAAACATTTTACAAAAATGATTAATTAAATTCATTTTAAAAAACTTTTGAGCTTCCCACCCTATAATTAATTCCTTCCAACCTTATCAGCATCACCCATACATCATTCTCAGCATCATAGAGTCAGATGCATTATAGCAAAGAAAAAAAAATGCTTCACTCATTACGTCATGAACGTAAATGAAATTAATTTTAAAAATATAAATTTTGAGCTCTTCTGCATGTTGGATATGCAGTAGCAATGCTGGTCTTGTACGAGTAATTTTTTTCTGTGATGCCAAAAATAATATTTTGCAGCTATAATGTATGCAAAATGTGATAAGGGATGAAAAGGAGAGACAAATATAATAGCAACTCGTAATATTGCTTGCAGCTAACATGGCAATAGCCTCGAAATCAAACGAATGAGCGAGATTAAAGAAATGTTTAAAAATTAAGGGAAATTAGGGTTGCGTGGTGATTTAAGGTGCTTATTTGGAGTAAAAAAGTAAACTTTAGCATTCAGAACTTAAGATCCATAGCTGCGTGTTATAAATAGTTTAACGAGAGATGATTTACCAGACCGCTGTACTCAAACCTAGACCTACAGTTCAAAGTGCGATCTAAACCATTCCTCTGATGTGATTTCTGCCAGTAACCTACAAAGGAAGGCTGTGAGCATCATTTCTATATGGTTCGAAAAAGGACAAGTGAAAATTTTCCCATGCCGAGTCTCGAACCCATGATCGATCTGTCAGTATTGAATTGAAAGTGTTTTGGAGTTTAGCATGTTTAGTAGATTGGGGGATTGGGGAAGCCGAAGTCTGACTCCGAAGCTGACCAAATGTCAAGTGTATACCTTCTCGTGGTATCCTCTGATACCGCTAAATACATCACTGGAGACTGAGCCATGTGCCGGAGTATGTACTTGAAAGTTTAGATTAAAAGCCTATCCAACAAACAACCTCGCCTGGGTGGCAGCCCCACAATCAGACTAGGCATGGTAAGGGTTACAACTTACTATTTCCAAAATCAACTTGAACAAAGGGGTACAAAGAAAGCAACAAAAAAATAGGTTCAAAGGTGACCTGTTAACCCTTCAGTAACCTTGTCTAAACTGAGCATTATGACTAGATTGATAAAATAAACAGCTAGTTTTTAACTAAATAATGGTTTAACCCAACGACTGCAAACAAGAACTCATTTTCGGAAATAGGTACTTCATTTTCGAACTTGATTTGAATTTAAAATTTCCGTTGAAAATATTTGTTTACATTTCTTGGTCTTTATTGAATTTATAAAATTTAATTTTTATAAAATGGTCAGAAATTGTGTAATTACTGGTTGTAAAGGAAAGAAAACCAATAAAATACCTTTGTTTTAAACTTTCAAAAAGCTCTGTGCATAAAGACAAGTTGATTGAATTTCTTAAATTGCATAATATTGAATATTGCTGTGAAAAAAAAACATTTCTTGTGTATTCTTGAATTTATTTATAGACAGCTTAATTGTTTTACCTTATGTTCTGATCCTTCCTTTAACCAGAAATTCATTAATACAGTAATTGCACAAATTGAAGTCGATTTTAAACATTGTCAAGATACAATTGATAAATTATTAAAAGTTTTTGTTGAATTTAGAGTAAAATTACAATTTCAAAGTCGATTGGTACATAGAAGGAATAATTTTGCTTCAAAAAATAACTATAATAAATATATTTTTATTAATTCCCTAACGATCATTTATTTTTTAAAAAATTTAATAGTTCGAAACAGTTCGAAATTTTTCGAATTTCAGTTTGAATTTTTCGAATCTAACTGAAGTTTTCTTTGTTTGCAGTCGTTGGGGTTTAACAATTTCAAAATCGCACAAAGACATTAATTCCTAATGACCATGGGTACAAGCGTTGACTACTACAACAGTCTTGATCTCAGATCAACCCAAAGACATTCAGAATCAAGACTAAGGACCCCTCTAAACCACTTTAATCCCTATTCTCCATAATCCACATCCACACATTCACAACAAAATTAAAAACTTTTTGACGACAAGCTTTCATTCAATGGGATGAAACTACCCCATCAAGTTGCATATAATAAAAAATTTACTGATAAAAACAAAATTGTCAAGGAGGAGGATCAGCATAAACAGCGACAAAAGCACTACTGTAGCTTCATTTAATTATTCATGCTGTACCAGTATGGATGCAGTGCTCACACAATCACTCTCTCTATGGCAATTTTAATTAAATCACTTTTCTGAAATAAAAAATACAAAAAGGCAGCTTCGAGGTTAATGCGATAGCGTTGGAGCTGAAAATTATATTTTTTTTTTAAAATGAAAAAAAAAATGAGACAGTGAGGCAGAAAGCGATCATATAATGTTATATGATTAAATGTAATTTTCAGCAATAATCATTATTGTCAATCAATAAGCTCTACTTTGTGGCGACTTTTATGTCTGAGTAGTGGTTGGATTGATTGAGTGATGGCGGGATGAAATTTTTTAAATTAATCGATTTTTTCAGAGTCAGAACTAACTGTAGGAATCGCCATACAAAGTATAAGCTAGAATCATCCAAAGTTCCACTTTATGACTTGCACATAACTTCAACATAAATGTACAAAAATTTAACTAATTCCATTTTTTTTCAATTCTTAACTCAATTTTCCATCCTCACAGGTAACAGCCAATGATGCTGATGTAGATAGACCAAATAATATAATATACTTTTTGACTGGACCGGGCATTAATGCTGAAAATCCATCCGAGAGTAATTTTGATATTAACAAAGCGACTGGTGAAATTTTTGTGCTCAAGGTAAGTTGATGTTCATTATTTAAAAATTGTCTGTTCTTGCTGCAAGAATTGTGTTAAGTTACAAGCAATTACGATGTTAAATGAACCAGAAGCTATCTCTTTGTTCATGTGTGGAATTGTTTTAATGAAATTTTTTTATTTTTTTTTATGAGAATTTTAAATTCAGAAAGAATTTTTAAACATTTCGATAGCAAAAAATGGCTATTTTTGTGAATTGCGGAAATTGAGGAAGCTGAGCAAAACGATGTGTATTAAATTTTACTATCATGTAATTTAAAGATTTTGTCTATAAGCTTTAAACTGCAACCAAGTCGTAGAAACTATCCCAAATATTCCATGCATTTCAAATATCTCATTTATCTTAAATATCTCAAGAATATTTAAAATAATCCTTGAGCCTGCATGCATTAAAATTGAGATATCCCATCGAATCCCAAAATTATATGTCCAGCACACTAAGGATTCGTTTGGATATCTTTATTATCGTGCATACACGCTCAAGGATTATTTTGGATATTTTTGGCATATTTTGGCATCCTGAAGATTATCCGAATTTTCAATCTTGGGGGGACCCAGTTTTAACATTTTAGATTAATTATGTAGATAATCCTAGGATGATCTAATCTTTGGATAATCCACCTACTAGGATAATCCACCTACTAGGATAATCTTTTTTTGTGAAATCCATCATCAGCATTTTAAAGAAGTAAAAAAAATTATGGATATCTTCGGATTGAAAAAGTGGATAATCAGATCGGTAAATAATCCACCTTAGTGAAACAGGCCGTTGGATATTTGGGAGTTTCCAAGCCTTGGGTGCAATGGATTGGACACTGTTGGTTGCAGTGCATAAAGACAATGGTACGTGGGAAAGATTTGAAGTATTTTGTATGGACAAAAAATCTCTTAAATACCCTGACAAATTGAAAAAGCTTTACCTTTAAAATACTTACCCCCTCCCGCATCTCCCTAGAGTTTGAGGAACCCCCTTTTGAGTCTAGGTGCGTTAGATATTTGAGTTTGTTAATAACCTTCCACCTTCACTCGGAAACACAAGTACACGGCTTAAAATGGCTGAAAATAAGGCAACAGAATGAACGCTGGATTTCACCAAATTTGACTTGGGATTGCGTTCATATCGTCCTAGTCCAACATTTTCAGCCATGTTTTTATTCAATATGCCTTTCTGGTGATTTACTTGCCTTTACCCTAGCCTAATCTTCTTTGAATCCATACTAAGTGCCACAACCTGCATCATAAAATAACCATAAATATGAATATGAGAAGCTCCATAAAATTCAAAATTCAAAATGCATTTGAATATGCATTCTCCAAGAAGTATTTATTTACCATATAGTTTGCTGTTTTCATATTCAAATGATGCTCTGATATTCAAAATCAGCTCCACATATCTTCAGCATTATTATGTTTGCATCAATAAATAAACTTTAACGTTAAGCTTCCTTTTCGTTTGGTTTTTAAGGGGCGTATTTAGACAATTTTAAAGGATAATCTTGAATTCAGGTTTGAGAGTTGAGAGGACTTCTTAAATACACCCCTTGTCTTTTTGTGAATGCATCCCAGCATCGATGTGCTTATGAAAATACTCGATAGAAAAAGTTTCTTATAAAATGTTGAATATAGAATAAATAAAATTTACTTCCCTGTCATACTTTGAGATGATTTTTCATGGAAACTTTTACGAAAGGAAAATTTATAAAAAGGATTTCCCAATGAAATATCGAACTTTTGTTAAAGAAATATGACAAGATTTTTTTTAAAAATTTGTAGAACGGATTTATGAAAAGTTTTTTGAATTATTTAGTGCTTTCAGGTAAGATGACAGCTTATCTTTGGGAGTTTTTGCTAGTGCAATCGTTAAGAGAGATTTTAGAGATTTTTTGAGCGAATATTAAGAGATTTGCTCGTTTTTGTGATGATATAGTTTGGTCTAGAAATGGTTTGGTGCTTTGGTATTTGAGTAATAAGTTTGAGACTTAGTTGACCGAGCTGTTGGACTGATTTGACCAAACGTTAGGACTCCAACTCTAACTTAAACCTATTTTTCACAGGTTTAATGCTTGAGTCTCATTAGATTAGCTACCAGCAGCTAGAAATCAAGACACAATAAAGCTTCAGATCAAGCAACTCCTCAAAATCCAACCTTCAAGTCATCCATCATAAACATTTAAGCTTTAATCCCCAATTTTCCAGTCCACCAACACTCATAAAACTCAAAATATCCAATAAAATGTATTTCAAAAATTTATGATAATTTAAGCAGCAAAAACACATTTTATAGCCCAACTTACAACCCACACGCACTTTAAAATCTCCTCAATATTTTTTTTCCATAAATCTTCCATCCATAATATTAAATTATTCAAATCAATGAAAAAAGTTTCAAAAAATAAATTTTTTACACATGAATTCTTTTGCTTTTCAAATGCTCATAAGAACGAGATGATGATGATGTAGATAGAAAATATTGCTATGTAACTAATACAATTCATCCAACCGTAACTTCCGTTACACAAACCCGAACAGAATTGATTTTTTTTTCATGTTTATCGAACAAAAACCTTTGAATTTCTTACAAACTTGTCATGAATATTTTGCATCATTTACAGCCTTTAAATCGAGATCCACCACACGGCCGTTCACAATGGCGCTTCAATGTTTTCGCACAGGATGAAGGCGGCGAAGGACTTGTTGGCTTCGCAGAAGTTCAAATAAATCTCAAAGATGTTAATGATAATGCGGTAAGACATGAGATGAAACTTTTCTTTTTCTTTTTTTGCTTCTATCTTCTCGGAATGGGATCTGACAAGAAGGTGACAAACACTTATGAATTTATTTTCATGTCCTTGTCATTACTCGTGAGATTTCATTTGGTGATGAAAAAGGAAGAAAAAAAAAAGCCACCGAGAAAAAGAAAGAAAAGGAAATCAAATCCGATTGAAAGAAGAAAATAACATGTGAAGTGAATTTTGAGCTCGGTTCAATGTTGGAAGCTAAGATGCAGAACTGAGAGAGATTTTGAATAATTTTGATCAATTCTTGATCATTATTGAACCATTTTGAACAATTTTGATCATTTTTGAACCATTTTGAACAACTTTGATCATTTTTGAACCATTTTGGTCACTTTTGAACCTTTTTGATCAATTTTTGAACCTTTTTGAACAATATTGATCATTTTTGAACCATTTCGATCAATTTTTGACCAGTTTTGATAATTTTTGAACCATTTTGAACCATTTGAACAACTTTTATCTTTTTAAATACTTTACCATATTTTAAAAAATTCAATCTCTTTGGAAAACTAAAAAAAAAAATCTTTAAAGAAAAGTTTGCTCAAAATCAGCACCCAACATATGCGCTCAAATATCACCAACGCTGTAATTTGGAAGAAAACATCTTTTTTTTTGTTGTCAAAAAATTCTTACAATTCCAATTTTCTTTTTCATCCTCATTTCCATTACACTCGATGCTCTCGCTCATAGCCTGTATTCCCACATGGTGTATACCATGGTAATGTAACAGAAAATGGAACAGAAGGTATGTATGTCATGACAATGAAGGCAGATGACTATGATGACATCAACGAGGGAACGAATGCCAAATTGATTTATTCAATTGAAAAGAATGCGATAGAAGAAGATACGGGCCTTCCAATATTCGAGATAAATCCTGATACGGGTGTTATAAAAACATCTGTATGCTGTTTAGATCGTGAAAAGACACCCGATTATTCCCTCCAAGTTGTAGCGACAGATGGAGGTGGTCTCAAAGGAACGGGAACAGCATCCATCAAAGTACGAGATCTCAATGACATGCCACCGCATTTCACGAAAGATGAATGGTTTGTTGAAGTCGAAGAGACAGATGGCTCATCACTTCCAGATGCTCCCATTCTTACTGTCACCGTCAGCGATGATGATGAAATAAATAATTTTCAATACAAAATCATTGAGAGTAGCGGATATGGTGCAGATAAATTTTCAATGATTAAAAATACTGATGGAACGGGAAGCCTTAGAGTCGTCCAGCCACTTGACTATGAGGATCCAATGCAAATGAATGGATTTCGATTTAGAATTCAAGTGAAGGATGATGAGAAGATTAATGATACGGACAAGAATCATCTTGCACACTCGTGGATCATTGTTAAGCTTAAGGATATTAATGATAATACGGTGAGTTTGATGGGATTGAATAGCAATTAAGCTTTGGGGAGCTTTTAAGGGGTTTCTTAAATTTATTGAAGTTTTTGGTGGTCGTAAGGAGGCTGTTCATCTACGCACTTTTGAGCTGACAGTCCCAATTTTTGGTGCGCAAAACCCGATGGTCAGCACAGTCATGAGAGTCATATAATAGAAGTTTGTAGTTTTGACATCAATCTATGTTGTTAAGAGTTAAGAACCCAGTCAAAAACTAGTCGCAGACATTTTCTAAATTTAGAAAGTAGCATGAATCAGTTTGTAGTCATGGAAACCACTCTGAAATGGTTTGGGTGTCTTTAACTTCCTTTCTGAGCTTGACCTAGTCAAGTTATGCTTTTAAGAGATTCCTAAGTTCTTTGACCTTCCTGAATTAGTATACAGATATCAACAGCATCCACCACCCCCAAAAATCACTTACATTAATTCATTCTATAAATACCCCAGACATAATACATAGTAAAGTATCTTTAATCTAACTTATATTAAATTAGAATTCCAACAACAATGTAAATTTACGTTCCAGCCCGGAGCAATAATGAAACAAAATTTAGAAGCCCCACTGCATTTCCACTTCAAAATTCCATTATTTATTGACTTGTTTACCAAACTTTTTATCTCATCTCCATAATCTCCATTTCTCAATTCTCATTTTTCATTCGTTCCTTTTATCTATAGCCGAAATTCAAGAAGCCATTGATAGAAGCATCTGTATACGAGAGTGCAGAGATTGGTAAAGTATTGGGAACATTTAAGGCCATTGACTTGGATAAGGGTGGAAAAGGAAAATTAACGTACATGATTAATCGAACGACAGATCGTCATCGACAGTTTTCAATCAATTCAGACGGAATTGTAACAATTCAACGTCCATTGGATCGTGAAGCAAGTGCGCGTCATGACTTGGAAATACTTGCAATAGATGATGGCATTCCACCACGAACAGCAACAGCTTCATTAATTGTCATTGTAAAGGATGTAAATGATAATGCGCCAGAGTTTGCTGAAAATTATCGTCCAATTGTGCCAGAGAATTCACCGCCAAGAAAGATTATTGAGCTACGTGCGATGGATCGAGACGATGCACTTCGTGGAAATGGGGCACCGTTTCAATTTCGATTAGATCCATCTGCTGACGACACGATAAGATCGTCATTTAAGGTTGAGCAAAATCAAAGTGAGTATAAAGACCATTTGCGTGCCAATTTTTTTTTGATCTTTTTCTTCGCTTGTCGTGTGCACAGAATTGTGTAGGATTGCTCGGTCAATGAAAGAAGTTTTTTTTTGATAAACAGCTGGTGGCATTTTGAAGTTTGATGTCCTTTTCAGCATATTGTCTTGCTCGTTTGGTTGTTAAGGAGTGAAAATTATTAAACTGAATGGATTTTAGAGACAGAAAATTAAAGTAACTGACTACGAGTGATTCAGATATTATAAAATAATTCAGTTTTGCTTTCACTCGAAAGATTCTTATAGGAAAAGGTTAGAGTGTTATTGCAAAAATTGTAACAGTTTTAAAGAAAATGTCTCTAAGCTTCTAAATTTACATGAAACTAAATACTAAGTTAAATGCTTGCCACTTTTTTGAAGCTATTTAATAATATTTGTTATCAAAATTTTGAGGTTAAGTACTAAAATTTTAAAAAATACTTTTCGAAGTGGAGATTTTTTTCAAATTAATCATTTTAATTCGTTATGAATTGCGAAAGATTTTAATTTAAATTAGACAATATTGAAAACATAACAATTTATTAAATCATGTCTACTTATCAGTAAATGCGCTTTATTCATAATTAACTAGTAATTTTTCTACTTGTTCTATTTTTTATTTCAATTTTTTGCTTCTGATTGTCCCACAGAAATTTTTTCCACCTCTCCAACTGCAAGCTATTCCTTATCGCACATTTTCTTCCATTTCTGTCTCAAAGAGAGCAATAAGAATTCCTTTAAATTTTTTTCTACAATTTCCAAACGAATTTTTTTCTTGTATGTACAAAAAGTGAAAATAAAAAACTTTCAAGCGATGCCAAAAAAAATTCCTTCTTATTTTTCTCTCCACTCAAAAGCATTCCTTAATTCCATCTTTTCAAACAAGGATTTGTCACTGCTGCTAAGCTATTCCTACGAAAAGGTATCTTGAGAGATGTGGGATTAGAATTTTTTTTAAAGGAATTTCTAAATGCTCTGTCATTCGTGCGAATAAAGATATAAAGTTTGAAGATTGAAGTTTAAATTCCATCGAAATTTTGTGTTTCATGCAAGATCTTAAAATTTTAGAAGCTTAAGATGTTACTTTTGTGTTGAAAGCTTTTATTTTCTTGGTGTTCAACAGACTAGAAGTAATTTTATATTCGAATGCAAATTGGAATTGTTTTGAAGATGACCAAAAGTTGTGCTTAGAATTAAACTTATTCTGTGTAGAGTTGATGATGTCATTTTATTTATTTTTAATCGGTCGTTAAAAATTCAAATTTTAACGGACATTCCACATTCAAATTTAAACGGTCGTTAAAAATTCAAAAATTTTGAATGTAAATTCGCCATTTTTAAAAACTCATTCAACTTCAAAATCTCAATTGTATCCAGAGTTGCGATACAAGTCGAATGTCACAAGCACACGTGACAGATCTGTCGCAGGCACAGATCAGTCAAATCTGTCCACAGAGAAGCACAGATCTATCACAGATCTATCCTTAGATATGTCCCTGTTAAAGGTAAGTGACAGGTGATTGCCTGTGACAGATCGCAACTCTGATTTTATCAAATCCAATTCATCCTACAAAGTTTATCTACCAGCTGTTGTCCTTAATCTAAATCTTCTTCACTTCCTAATTCAAATTTCTACAGAATTATTCCATTCAAACCACAAAAGGTTAATTTTATGCAATCCTCACGCATTTTTATTCCTCATTTCCATTAACACCTTTTCCAGCACAATCTTTTTTCGATCAAAAGTTAATTCTTTGTACACGAAATGTTTTCCTACACACAAAAAAAAATCCAATCAATTGAAGCACTTTTTAACTCAATTTTACCTCTTTTTCTTTCATCCAATACAAAAAAAATAAAAATCTACAATGTATTCATTACCAATTCAATGTAATGACTCTTTGCGTGGATATATGTTGCTACGGGGAATGACACAGAAGGTGCAAATGGTGAAGGCGTAGCGATTGTTTCATCACTATCATCATTCGATCGTGAACAACAGAAAGAGTATTTATTGCCAATTGTAATTAAAGACTCAGGTAATTAAAAAGAGATGTTGCAAAAAGAAGAGATAAAAAAATTGGAAACGATGTTGAATTGCATTGTAGCTTTTAATCATCCACTTTTCATTTATCTCTTCTTTTGTGTTGATTTTGTAATTCTTCTCCACATGAGAAATTTTTTAAGTGCAATTTCATGGAGAGTTTGTTGAATAGTTACGGAGTAGTTCTAGATGCAGTTTGTCAGATTGAAGATTGTTTTGTTGTGGGATAAAAGCTTGATTGATATAGGATTTATCATTAGTATATCCTGATTTAACTATGTTCTAGATAGTGAGCTAAAGTTAAAGGCTCAGAGGCGGAATGGTTTAGTACTTCGGTACATAATCATTGTAAAGCCGACCCAGCGATCATGGGTTCGAGACTCGGCATGGGAAATTTTTAACTTGTCCTTTTTCGAATCATATGAACTGGAAATGAAACTCACAGCTTTCCCATTGTAGGCTCCAGACAGAAATGTCATCAAAAGAGTGATTGGAATCCCACCGCATCCTCAATAGTTAAACTTACATTAGCTGCAAATCGCCCTAGCGCACCTCTCTCGATCATAATTGATCTGAATAGGCAATGGTTATTTAATTCTACAAAAACCCTGATTTATGATTGTCTAAGGTTTAACTTTATCTTATTCAAAATTGTCTTAGGTTCACTCAGTTCTGAATAGTGCTTAGGGATAAGCTGATTCTGGTTTGTGCTAGTCATAGCCTAATCTAAGTTTGACATAGATAATACAATAATTTGAGTATTGATTAGAGTTGTGAAACTTTGTCAGAATTAAGTCCACATTACATCCAATTGCGTTCACCAAAAAAAAAAATTGTGTCCTACTTCTTGTGGCTGTGGCTGGACACTTCATGCCGTCGCACTTCAGCCACACGATTAGAGACATCCGCTGATCTGAGTACTATGGGTCCTCGATTTTAGTAGATTCGATTTTTCTGGAACAAAACACAAACTCAAATCGAGGACCCCAAGTATTTCCTAGAACTAAGAAAACCGAAGTTTATTCTACATTCAACCTAACCTACTTTACAGTAGCTAATCTACATTCAATCCTATATCTTATAAGCGCTGTTATTACCCCACAACCATAAACAACTCTCAATCTTACTTCTCTTAATTGCATCCGTTTTACTCCATTAATCTTTTATCCTTACCATTTTCATTAATCAACCAAATTACTCACACACCCAACTTATTATCTACAATTCTCAATTCTCTCCTTCAACAGGATCACCATCAAAAACTGGTACAAGTACACTAACAATAATTGTCGGTGATTTAAATGACAACATGATGCATTCTGGTGCAAAAGAAATAACAGTCTATAATTATCTCGGTCAGGCTCCAGACACACCCATCGGTCGAATCTTTGTGAATGATTTGGACGATTGGGATTTAGAAGATAAGAAATTTTATTGGAATGACGTTGAGAATCATCGATTTAAATTGGATGAAGAGACTGGAATGCTCACAATGCGTCGTGGTGCACGTGAGGGAAAATATCGATTAAATTTTAAAGTTTATGATCGTAAGCACATCCAAGAGACATCAGCCAACATAACTGTTTCTGTTAAGCATTTGCCCTATGAGGCAATTGTTCATTCGGGTTCAATGCGTATTGTTGGTTTAACGGATGAACAATTGATAAGCAATTGGGATAGCAAGACGCAAGTGGCGTATCGTAGTAAAATAGATAGACTACAAGATAAATTGTCCGAGCTATTGAGTATAGATAGAAAAAATATCGATATATTTAGTATACAAGTGCGTCAACTGAATCCACCGACAACCGATATACGTTTTAGTGCACATACACAATTTTTCTATAAAGCCGTACGTCTAAATGGCATTGTATTATTACATAAATTGGAGATAGAATCGGCCGTTGGACTTAATATAACAATGGTCAATATAAATGAGTGTATGGATGAGAATAATAATTGTAATGGTTCATGCTCAAATCGTCTTGATATTAATGCCAATCCATATGTGGTTAATGCTAACAAAACAGCATTTGTTGGTCTCCATATCAATGCAACCGGCAGTTGTGAGTGTGATGCAAAAACATTTAATAAAATTGAGACATGCAAGACACATCCGTGCTTGAATGGCGGCAAATGTGTTGAGAATAAATATGGAATTAGATGTCATTGCTTGCCTAATTATGCTGGACCGAGATGTCAACAAACGACGAGGAGTTTTCGCGGTAATGGATGGGCATGGTATCCATCATTGGATATGTGCGATAATAGTCATCTCAGTTTGGAGTTTGTGACATTAAAGGCTGATGGAATTTTACTCTATAATGGTCCAATACGCTCATCAAATGAGACAAACTTATCTGACTTTATAGCAATTGAACTTGATCGTGGATATGCACGACTACTTATCGACTACGGATCTGGCACAACTGAGTTGACTGTCCGCACAAAGAAACTCTTAAATGATGGCGAGTGGCATCAAATTGATGTCTTTTGGGATATGGAAAATATTCGTATGGTCGTCGATTTCTGTAAATCAGCTGAAATAACTGAAGCGGATGATGGCACAACGCCAGATATTGATTTGACCTCATGTCAGTCACAATCAAAAACGAAACCATTCAATGAATATCTCAATGTCAATACGCCATTACAAGTCGGCGGCTTATATCGTGAGAAATTTGATTATATCAATGCGAAATGGCAAATGAATCCAATTGGGGAATATTTTGATGGATGTATACGTAACATTAAGCATAATGGAGTCTATATTGATTTAGCACATCCGGGATTAAGTAAGAATACGGCACCCGGATGTCCGGTCATACAAGATATATGTTATAATGTACATCCAACGAATAAATGTCTTGATCATGGTACGTGCATTGGCAGCATGAATGAGCCAAAATGTGAGTGTCATGCTGGATGGACTGGACAATTTTGTAATACACCCACCGTACCCGTAACATTTAAGTCACAAAGCTACATTAAATATGCATTAAGTTTTGAACCAAATCGCTTTAGTACGACGCTACAGATGCGATTCCGTACACGCGAGAGATTTGGCGAAGTATTTAGAATGAGTGACCAACAGACGAGAGAATACGGCATTCTTGAAGTCTTCGAAGCTAAATTAAGATTCCGATATAGTTTAAATTCAGCACAAATTGAAGAGCAACAATTAAGCTTAACGTCTGTTCAAGTCGACGACGGTCAATGGCATTTTGTAAAGATTAATCGATATGGATCGGCAGTAATGATGGAAATTGATGGAGGTGAGGGTAAAAATTACAACGAAACATTTGTATTCGAAGGACATCAGTGGCTGTCGATTGATAAGCAGGAAGGAATTTTTGTGGGTGGAAAGCCGGAATTCACTGGAATTAAGTCGTTGGAGGTTAACAGTGATTTTCAGAATAGCTGTGTTGATGATGTGAGGTAAGTTTAAGGGTTTATTTAGGGAATTGATTAATTATAATGGGGTTGCACTTCTGCTGTCAATTGTGAGAGAATTATTGTCTTGCTTCTGGAAGTAAAGCATCTCTGGAGATGACTTTGATTCTTTCTTGGTTGTACTAGATCCTCTCAAGAAGAGATGAAGCAGAGGGGAGGATGAGAACGCTTTCTCAATGGTAGATTGGGTCGACACCCTAGCTAAGCCCCTGCTTTCAAGTAAGGCATCCCTTAAGCCACTTAAAAAGACCAGAAAAGCTTAGCTTATCAAACTCAATCCAAACAAACCTTTCTCCAACAAAATTTTCTACCTACTCAACAACTTAGTTCTGCATTAAGCATTCTATCAATAGATCCTTTGAAATCTAATTCACACCTCGGTTCTCTCACATACTGACGGTATGATAAAGTGCCATTTCAATAACATGACAAAACATTCATGTCTACAAAAGGACATACATAGTGATAAAGATTATTCATAAAGTGTCATCAGCAGCACTCAATGAACAAACACAGAAAAAAATAATAATCTATCTATATTCCCACATTTTTCTTCCATCATCATTGTCATCAAACATTAATGGACAACAGGTTAGATGGAAAAAGTTTACCATTACCACCGCATTCGAATGGCACACAATGGGGACAAGCGACAGCGGCTCGTAATGTTGAAAAGTATTGTGCATCTAATAATCCATGTTCGAATGCATTCTGTCCAGAGCCATTTGAGTGTGTAGATTTATGGAACAAGTATGAATGCAGGTATGTACATACATAAATTGACATGTGTTTAGCATGTAGGATTTTTTGGAGGTGTGGACGCTGTGGATAAATATTGATAAGCAATTTTCGCAATTCAGCACTAGCGTCCACAACCTCCAAAAATACCGTAATCCGCTTTATGAATATTCAATGGATTTATAATTGCTACAAAAAAAACTTTGTTTTTTCTAGCTGTGGCGATGGCATGGTCGTATCATCGGAAGGTAAAGGATGTGTCGATCGTAATGAATGTCTTGATATGCCATGTCTTAATGGTGGTACGTGCATAAATCAAGAGCCTCGACTACGATATCGATGTGTGTGTCCGGAGAATTTTTGGGGTGAAAATTGTGAATTTATGAAGGAGAGACAAGCATTGAAGCTTAGTACAAGTGCCTTGGCAGCCGTTATTGCATGTTTATTAATCATTATAAGTGAGTGTTTACGTTTAATTAAATTTAATTATTATTAATTAGACATTAGGACTGAGTAGAAAATGAGCCTACTCATTATTATGCTAATTTAGTCCTCCTCAATTGCTCATTCCTTTTTCTCAAAACGTCGTCGACGACAATATTAATGCTCTGTTTTACATAACATGCCACTATACACAGTCCTTCGTCTTACTATCATCATAATGAGTTGGAAATATTTTTTTTTCTACTGTTTAATGGTGAATGTTGTTATGGCGATGCTGCGATTAAGGCTTACAATTGCGGAGTTTTTTTTTTCTCTTTTTTTGCAAGAATAGTTTCTCTGCAGATGATCTTAATTAACATGATTAATTGCTGAGTAATTTATGAAATTAAAGTAATAAGAAAGAATGGCTATGAATGCTCAAAAGTAAGAATGAGGTTTATTCTGGTTGGATGTCGCATAACATAAGTAGTGTGGTTTTGCATAAAATTATCTTGGCATTTGCTAAATTTGGTCATATCAAATCGACCAAAAGAAAATCCTTAGAAAGTCCCATCCTGAAATTCAAAGCAAAACATGAACTAAATTGACTCCAACAACACTTTACGCCTCGCTCATTAAAATTCCGCCAACAATATCCACACCGAGTTGTTAATTGATATGAAATGGAGGAAATCTTCTTATAAATTGTAAAGCCGCATTATAAATTGCCTATTGCTGTTGCTATAGACCCACAAGTACATATGCTTAACCACAAGAAATTGTTTTCCATTTACAATAATCAATTTCCCTTTTTGCTGTGCCTATTTATTAGTAATATGGAGTGGGAGATGGGAATTATAGAAATGAGAGCAATTTTCACGCAATAATGAGCATTCGTAGGATGATTAATAATCAGTTCCTATAGGAAATAAATTTTCTTTTCTGCTACGGCCTCTCATGAGGCTTATAAATGATTTTAAATTGTTTTCAATATGTGCTGTGAGTTGCGATGGGATTAATTTTAAAATAAACAAACTATTGACGTGGAATGTAAGCTCAAAATTTGGTTGAGAAGCTGTTGACTATTTTGTAGCTGGAGGGACAATTTTGGGTAAAGCTTATGGATTCTGAGAATTCAAAAATATGTCTCGATCGATCTATTCATGCATGATATTGTTCATCACAAAAGCTAATTAATTTTCCATTTCCTTGTACTTCCAGTTTTATTATTTTTATACTTCTCATTCAATCGCAAGAGAAATCCAGCAACGAATGTCAAGAAACCAGTCACAAAAGAAGACATTCGTGAGAATATTATTAATTATTGTGATGAGGGTGGCGGTGAAAATGATATGATGACATTTGATATGAAGACATTAAAGATTCCAATAAGCACACAACTGCCCGAACTTGTACAGCATAAGGCATCATCAAGTAAGTAGTATTGAAATTTGATACTGACAAATTGGGTAAAAGTATTGCTGGGATGTTCTCGGGCCAGGCTGAATTCAATCAATTCTATTCGAACTTAGCTATATTATCTAGGATCTAGCTGAATTAAATCCTCTTGAATAAAGCTGAATCAGATCCTCTTGGGTCGAGCTGAATTAGATCCTCTTGGGTCGAGCTGAATTATATTCCCTTGGGTGGAGCTGAATTAGATCCTCTCGGTTGGAGCTGAATTAGTCCCTCTCGGGTCGAGCTGGAGTTAAACTTGCCAAGACGATCGAAATTCGTTTTTTAAAAAATTCTTATTCTCAATCTTATTTTCTCTCTTACTCAACCAAATTACCTCCAATCCTAATTCATCGACCGTTTTCATTGCCATCATTAATGACAAAAAAAGGACCAGACATTGCAGTCGTATCAGATCAAATAATTAAAGTTGACACGACCGTATTAAATGAGAGGAAAAGAAGAGTCGAGGATATAACTGTCCAGCACTTTGATGATCTAAGGAATTATGCGTACGAGGGTGCAGGATCAACAGCTGGCTCTCTTAGTTCAGTACTGGAGTCAGGTACAAAACTTAAGTAATTATCAAATTAGATTTGTAAATTAGACATAAAATATTCTAAAATTTAAAACTTTTACTCCAAACATAAATTAGGGACTGACGACGAGCCCCACGAGTACAGCAAGTTCCTTGCCAAGTGGGGTCAACCTTTCGATAAAATTGCTAGCATGTACTCGCAGAAAAGCACAAGTGACATCGAGAATGATGAAATTAGCTAAAATTAATTTTTTTCTCCTAATTTTGTACATTCATTAAATAAATTCATGTATATCGTAATTTATTATTTAATGGCTGTGTTGTCCATTTCGTTGATGGATATGCCTACGCATAAAAAATTCACTAATTCAATATTCATCAACGAATGATGAGAAGTCAGCAGATAAAGTTGAAAAAAAATGTTACGTTTTTATTTGAGAAATAAATTTTATTTTTTTGTTGTACAGAAAATTTAATTTTGTTGGGAACGCGTGGTGGATTTGAATGCCTAACCAGATTAATTACATAAATGAGCGTAAGAATGGGATGAAATTAGGGGACCTTTGTGAGAGTTTTGTTAGATAATTGTGGATGAATAAGGTTTGTAAAAATGTTATTGATCGCTTTTGACTGTAAATAAATGTCAAGAAATTTATAATAAATTATTGTAGCTTTAAGGTTTAGTATTAAATAATTATGAGAGCGATTGATAATATTTTTGCAAATTTTATTGGTATTTCTATTAATTTTAGATTTTTAAAATTTGAAAATTGTGATTTTTGATTTTATTAAAACGTTTTTATATTTTTTAAAAATTGGATTTATTATTATAAATTTAAAAATTTTAAAATAAATTCCGAAAAGTTTCAATTCAAATTTTTTCCATGAAATTTCACTATCACTGCCTGTAAATATTTAAAAATAATGTCTAAATAGTCAATATCAATTGAAGAATTTTCGACAAAAAAAAGATCCAGTGCGAAATTTGTTGAATTTAATTCAAAAAAGTTGACAAATTTATTCAAAATTTATGTGAAATTCTGTGAAAAATTTAAGATTTAACTTTATTTATAAATTTGAAATTCTTTTAAAATAATTTATTTTAAAATTGACAAATAAATTCAAAATAATTCTAACAAAATTTCTTACAAGTGCCGACAACCACCCACACCTTGACAAATTAAATTCGTTGATTTAATGTTCAAATAAATTTAAATTAGAACAAAAATAAAATAAAACGAGAAAAAAATTAAAAAAATAAAATTGTATGAAAAGATCATGTAAGAAAATCGTTGTGTTGAAATTTTTTTTCTAAATGTAAACTAAGGATATATTATAATAAAAAAAATTAAGTGAAAAAATTCCATTGAAAAATCAAATTTATAGAAAATAGGAAATAACAATAAAAAAGAGATTTAAATGAAATATAAATTGTAAAGTTTAAGAAAAAATAAATTTATGACATAAAAAAATCGATTTCACAGCGAACAAAAAGAAAATCAAAATAAAAAAAATAAAAAAATTCAATGAATGAAAAAATGAAAAAAGATGAGAATGAATCAAAAAAAAGAAAATTGCAGAACCATTGAGCGAAACTGCATAAGAATTTTTTTTTCTCTGGTAGTTGAAGTTTGCCAATGGAATCAGCAGAACATGATGAAATATTGTAAATAGACTTTCATGATTATTATTATTATTACTAAAAATCAACAATAGACGAGAATGGAAACTGTATTGTGCAAAAACAGCGATGAAAAAAAAATATCAAATGAAGTAATGTCAAATAAATTTTTAATGCAAAAAAATACAAAAAAAATCTGTTTTTTCTCTTTCTGTCGTTTTAAGTTTGAAATGAAATTGCAGGGAATGAAAAATAAAACGTTTTGTTTCAGAAAGTGGAAAATTTTCAAAATTTATTTTTTAAACTATAAAATTTCACAAAATTTGCTCGTTCAAAAACATTTGCAAGTTTTGAATTTTGTAATATTATTTTTTTTTTATTTTCCAACTTTGAATTTTTTTAATTTCAAAATTGTTTATTCAATAATAAAATTATTTAATTTATATTCAAATTTTATGATCTTTATAAAAATTTCCAGACTCAAATTTACAGATGCGCCCATCTCTACCCATGCAATTCAACAGCCATTCCATCATTTTAAGCGGTAGCTCACTTTGAACATTTAACAATTCAACAATTGAACAGAGACATGAAAAATGTTTATGGAAATGATTTTTCTTTCATTTCTCTTTTTTTTCTCCATTCGAAATTACTTTCAAGCATGGCATTACAATAAATTAAAATTGATACAATAGAGAAATTTTCAAGCATTTAATGGAAAAATTATTCTGACTTTTTGTATTCTTTAAATATTGAAATAATTTCATTTATGGTCGTGGAAGATTTATCAAAGTCTTGTGTCTAGGTTGAATGAATTGTTGAATTGCTAATGAAATTACAAGGGAGTGAGGATTTTTTTACTGAGTTTTTAAGGATAATTTTATTTTTAAACATTTTAATAAGTTTCTTATCTTTAAAATTTTTTGATTTATCAATTTTTCGATTTCGTTTATTTTAGTTTTTGATTTTTTAAATTTTTTGGTTTTTTAAATTACTTAACCTTTCATATTTTTTACTTTTTTCAATTTTTCGATTTTTAAATTCTTTTATTTTTAAATTTATAAATTCTTTTATTTTAAATTGTTTTTAACTCTATAGTTTTTTTGTTTTAATATTTCTTGTTAATATAATTGAATCTTTTTAAATAAAATTAAAATAAATTTTTACCTTAAACTATCAATTTTTTAATTTATTTATTTTAATTTGACTTTCAACGATTTTGTGGAATTGATTCAAAGTTCAGTTTTACTTATTTTTTTAAAATACTAGGGGGTGGGCTGGTTTAGTTGACCCCAAACTTTACTAAAATATTAAATCAAATCGCCTTTTTTATGACATCATCCATGATTTAAGTGGAAATGGAAAGTTTAAAGCTTAACATTAAATTTTAAAACAGCACAAAATCTGTTTTAATCTTCCACCATCCTTTCATGAAAGCTCCAAGGACACAACGAATGAATTATTAAGCAAAAAATATTAAAACAGTTTTCTGTGTAAATATAAAAAATGAGAAAATGGTTCATTAAAATATATATATTTTTTAAAATTAATTGGCAATTCAAGCGAAAAGTTTCAATAAACGAAAAACTTCACGTTCAATAAGTGCATTAATGATTTATAACAGCATAATTACCATTATGTGTTCACTGATTAATTGATTAAATAGCAAGTATGAAAATGCAGGTTATGGGATATTCTCAAAGAACTGGGAACTTAAGATTCTGGTAGTCACGTCTCTTAGATCCAATCGCTTGCAAGTGATTGATCTTACACGTATGGTCCTTTTTAATTTGCTCCTAAAATTTTATTTAATGTTCCTTTAATTCTATTAAATCAAGATTGCCTCGTCACCAAAATTCTATTTTACTCCCCCAAACCTCACACAAACCATTTCACATCCAAATAGGTCACCACAAAAATCCATCAATCCCGCTATCCACACAAGCATCCATCCAACCGCGAATAAATCACCCCAAAAAATACGTATTCATATCAAAGCTACTCTCAAAACCACAAAGTAAGCGTAAGTAGCATCCACAACAAAGACGAGCAGCATCAAAATTAATGGATCTTCAAAACATCGGCCAAGCCAATTCATCATCTCCAAATAAACAGCAATTTATCTCAAAACAGAAAAATTTCATACAATGCAAAAAGTTCAGCATACAAGAATTGGGAGAGGAAAGATGGGAGATTCGGGAATAGAGAAAAATGGAGAGGCTTTACAACCCATCCGAATCCAAAGCGTTAAAAGCTGACCATAAATTTTTACAAAAAAAAAACGAGAACGTTTATAGCTTTTCTTTTATTTAACCCACAGAATGTTCGGCTTTTGTTGATGTTGAATGAGCTTTTTTGAAGAAGAATATTAAGGAATAGATGGGAAGATTGTTGATGGTTTGGATGGCTGATTTGGGGAAAAGTTGGCTTGCAAAAACATGTAATTTGATCTTGGAATTAGAATAAAAAATTGAGGAACTAATGAAAAAATAATGTGACTATGGACTGATGCCTCGAAAGCCTTAGAAACAGGTTCCACAGGGCATCTGCAAGTTCGGACTAAAATATTGTAAAATATTGATTTTCTGTTCAGTTTAAGGCTTAAATATCAAGTTCTTATTTAATTTAAAATCAAACTTCAAGATCTTCAAGAAAAAGTTCCCCAAAAAATGCGCCTTAAACCCAATGAACCCAAAATATTTCAAACTTGTGACTCTTTTATTTCACCAAACACCACAAATTCGTACCTTTTTCATCTTCTTATTTTCTCTGTTCTGTTTTTGCCCACAAAATACATTGCACTTTCAGCTCACCATACATTCATTTAATTCAGCCATAGGTACATCCATTCATACATGTACCACTATTCCGAAAAAAATTGACCATTTATTTTATTCTGAACACGTTTCAATTCGAGAATTAAAAAAATGAATTTATTCTCAATTTATGGTTTTGAATTTGATATCTATAACTGAACATGCATGAATACTCATAACATATTATATTAAATTTATGCTCTCGTACACGCTTAACACGATAGGTGAAATTCATGGCAGCATTTGAAAGTAAGATGAGTTTGGGAATTTATGGAGTGGAAACGATGATTAGAGCGAAGTTTTTGGGAGAGCAGGATGTGCTGGTGACTTTTGGTACTCAAAACGCTTAAAAATTTCTCTCATTTCTCTCAAAAATCAGCTACAGCAAAAAGTCGAAAAGGTGAAAAACTATCGAGCATGCTTTTCGTCATTAAATTGCATGCTTTATTCATCCTCTCCTTCCGAAATCTAAAATTTATTTGCTTTTCTGCAACGTGAAGTGTTTATTCTAATGATTTTTTGATCGTTTTAATGGAAAACTAATAAAATATTTGAGTTGAAATATCAGCAATTGAAATCTATTTTTCTGCAATATCCGTGAATTAATAAATGGAAATGATTTTTTTTTTATTTTTCGTGAATGTGGTAAGTATATGTGCTGATTTTATGATTTATGTGAATGAGGTGGGTTTTATTGAAATGTTTTTTTAAATTTTATTTTTATTGAATTTTTGGTGGAGTTGGTTTATTTTGAGGATATCGAGGCATGCTGATGTTCTTAAGGAACAGGGAGTTTTATTAAGTATTTATAGAGAAAAACCAGTTAATGTAGAGGAAGTGATAAAAGAAATGTCAAAATCAGCACGAACAATTAAATTTAATGTATGAATAATGAATTAAATATTTAAACTTATGAAGAATGTTTATAGATTAAAGGATTCAAATAACGGTTTTTTAATTTTCGAAAATGGGCCCCCCCCCTTAAAAATTTTCTGGCTACGCCCCTTAATAAGGATGATGAAGGAAAAGATGGGAATCCTTCCTAGTCAGGGACCTAGAATAATATGCTTTGGGCAGAGCTCGAAGTCAACTTGAGATTTCTATCGATTTTGTACGAAGGAGTCAACTCGACTCCATACAAAATTTCATCGACTCCGAGCTCTGGTTTTGGGCTTTTGATGAATTTTCTGACGTTGGTTTGGATGGAATCTACAAAAGTACATTAAGTGAAAATGGAAGGGGGGTTGCGCCTGGCGATTACTAATCCTTTATAGAGAATTTGCCTACAATTGCTGGAAAAAATGCCTACAACACAAAATGCAGCACAACATACCCGCACTCCCAATTCTAGCTCAAATATTTCTACAGAAGTCACTCAACTTAATTAAATTTTCTCACATTCATAATTCTCAATTAAAATCTATTCTAAAAATACATCATCTCAAAACCACATGTCTCAATTTCCTTAGAAAATTTAAATACTGAAAATTAAAAGTAAGAAAAAAATTCTTCATTTCTTTCTCGTTGCGTCAGTAATTTCCATCCTACACAAAATTCTTTTTAAGGTTTAACCACATAAAGAACAACCTTCACATGTGAAAATGTATTCATAAGTACCATCATATGACATACATCCTACATATTGTAATCCAGATGTTAAGCTTAGATAATTGGTTGGATGTAATGCTTCAAAACAGGCTCTTAATGATATTAGAATGAAAATTTTAAGCTGGTGTTTTAAGAATTTAGCAAAAAGACATTCTTAAAATAAATTCAGGGGTAATTTATAAATGATGTCACAAAGATCCAGCATCCGATGCTTGATATGTTCTAGGAGGCCTCATGGTACCTAATTAATTTTCTAGAACAGTGCTGTCTAAACTTTTTTGTGCCAAGGCGTACCTTAGTGAAAGTCGACGACCGAAACAGCACAAAGCATGTGGTTTGTGGTATTTCAACAATTTTTAAACAGCACCAGAGCTCGAAATCGACTCGAGATTTTCATAGATTTTGCATGGCGGAGTCGACTCGATCCCATACAAAATTTCATCGACTTCGAGCTCTGTACAGCACACTAGTATAGACACAGTTTAGACAACACAACCCAAAAAGAATAGTCGAATTGTATATCCCAAAGATAAAGCTAAGTTTAAGCTCAGATGGTGAGCTAGACCAAAACAAGCAAAAATCTTTCAGTTCTCACTCTCATCGTTCTACAGATGACGTCATAACTGAACTCCTCCTCCTTAACAGTCAAAAGGATTCTCACAAAGAAAAAAATTTAAATCCTTCTAATTTTTCTTCGTAATAAAATTATTCTCAAGGTTACAGATGAATCCGTTCCAATGACAATGCTATTTGCAACTCAGCATGCCTGATTTATTAAATCCATTTTCCTCTTAAATTTTTTTTTTTACATCTACCTACAATCTTTTATGTTGTCATGGTATCAGCAATAAGAATATCAGTATCAAAAAAGATCAAAATGATAAAAGGAAGGGAAAAAAATATTCAAATTGAATGATTCTCAGATGAATGTCCTGTTGAACGGATGGATGGAGAATACTTTTTATATTTTTTTATGCTTTTTTTTCTTTCGATTTTCTTTTGCTTTTTAGAATTTTTTTTTGAGTTGTCGTGTCCTTGAGAATATTTTTTTTGTAGTCCTTGTGAAAAGTTTTGTGATTTTTTGAGCAAAATGTAAATTGAGAAGAGTTTTCTTGGATCATGAATGATGCTTAATTTAATATTGAATAGTTTAAAGAGAATTTAATTTGAAATGAACTTATAACTAAGTATTCAAATACAGTCAAATCAAGAAAAGCTCAATCTCGTTAAAACTTGTTTAATAAAACTTATTGTTGTTCATTCTGTCAAAAAATAGTCTTATTGTAGTCCAATTTAAGTTAAAAGGGCTCATTATATTCTTAACATGTCCAAAAAATTATACTGTCGTCATAATTGGTTCAAATAGTGGTTCAACCTAGCTCAATAAATTCACATTATAGTCCAAACTAAATCAATGAGTAAAATTCTAGTCCATTAAAATAACATTCTAGTCCAAACTCATTTAATGAGTAAAATTCTAGTCCAATAAAATGACATTTTAGTCCAAACTAATTCAATGAGTGAAATTCTAATCAATTAAAATCACATTCTAGTCCAAACTCATTCAATAAGCAATATTCTATATTCTAGTTCAAATTATCACATTCTAGTCCAAAATTATTCAAAGAGCAAAATACTAGTCCAATAAAATAACATTCTAGTCTAAACTAATTCAATGAGTAAAATTCTAGTCCAATAAAATCACATTCTAGTCCAAACTAATTCAATGAGTAAAATTCTAGTCCATTAAAATCACATTCTAGTCCAAACTAATTCTATGAGTAAAATTCTAGTCAAATAAAATCACATTCTAGTCCAAACTCATTCAATGAGCAATATTCTAGTCCAAATTGTCTACGTGGAGAATTATTCTAGTCCAAAACAGTTCAATAAAGATCGTTCTAGTCCAAAATTTACTAAATACATTTCATTCTATGTCAAACTAGCTCAAAAGAGTGATTCTAATCATAGATTCTGCAAATTTGACTAAACTCCCCACAAGGAACCAATCTACAATAGTAAAATTATTTCTAAATCCAAAAACTTTCCGCTCGAGGAAAACGGACGACATTTACACAAGTTGGAATTTTAAAAGAAATTCTTTTTTGACTTGAAAAAAAATTTCAATTCCTTTTCCGTCCTCACATTGCTGTCATTTCTGAGAAAGGTGTTGAATAGGAATTTCACAAACCGAACATACTTTCAGCCAGCGTGTCTCTTTTTCATTCCCGACCAAAAGAATAAAAACAAATTCCTCAATTGAGGTAGGCAAAAAAAAAAATTTGCATAAGGAAGAAGAAATTTACATAAATATGAATTTTTATTTCCATTTCACCCGTTCTGCTTTGAAATGACAAAGTTTTTTCTTAATGTTGTCCAACAACATTTCAACAATCGTGCCAGACAAATTAGAGAAATTGTCATGGAATAAAAATGGGAAACATGATGTTGGAATATGATGAATAGCATTTATGTCGTTCTATTTATTCATACCTTTTTTTTATCGGTTATGTCTTTATTCTGCTTTGATGGAAAATTCTTGCTGATATTCTTAGTGATCTTTTAGTGAATTATGTAATGCTAGAGGCAGTGGTATAGCTAAGAGGGTTCAAAACCCCTCCCAAAAATTTTTAAAGGCATTGAGAGCATGACTCAAATGTTTTAGGGGTCCAGGATCTCCTGGCTACGCCCCTGGCTAGATGAGATTTTTGTACAAAAATTAAAAATTTGAGTCGAGTCAATCAAAAAATTTTTATTTTAATCACTGAAAAAATAATCAAAGCTTTAGTTTATTTATGTGCCATTGTCGTGTCATCGGCCATAGTCATTGTTGAGCTTGCTGTTGAGCTGGATGTGACTGTTGAGGTGGATGTGGCTGTTGAGCTAGATGTTACTGTAACTGGCATTGTAGTTGTTGTCAATTTACCTGATTTTGAAATTATTTTAATAATTTATTTTAAAATAAATCTTTTTAAATTAATGTCTAATATTAATCAGAGCTCGAAGTCGATGAAATTTTGTATAAAGTCTAGTTGACTCAAAGTCGACTCCACCATACAAAATCGATGAAAATCTCGAGCCGACTTTGTGCTCTGATATTAAACCTTAATCAAGACTTAAATTTAACAAATATAAAATTTTTCAAAAGCACTCACATTTTGGACCCAAAACTAAACATTTACATGCACAATCTCTAATATCGAAATATTGAAAGGCTCCACATCGTCGTCCTTTAATGGGGCAACGGTTCACTTTGTTGTTGTCATCACTCTGCCCATTAATTTGCAGTAAAATTGCTATATTTAAGTAAATATTCATTTTAATATACAAAAAAGTCCTCGTACTTAATTTAAATGAAACAGAACAAACTAGCAATTCAAATCGAGGACCCAGGAACGTAAGCACAGGAAGGGGTCAGTGTCAAAACCTCCCTATTATCAGAAAGTTTACATCATAATTAACTGAACTTTATAAGATCCGAAACAAAAAAAAATTGCACCCATTTGAGAATCGAGGATTGATTACATTGATTAAAAATGATCAAACTCTAATTTATCACTTCCGCATCCTTAGCGAGGACCCCCTTAAAAAGTACAAACAGCACTTACTACTTATTACCAAAATCGAAAGTAACAAAACTGCAAAGTTATTCATTTTATTTGACTAAGAATATTTCGACACTTTTCTACTCAAAAGTCAAATTTACACTGAGAATTATTACTGAGTTGTCCAACTTTATATTTGCCTGAAAGAATTTTTGATGACATAAAAAGTGACTTTTTTAATGGACAAATTTTTATTACACTTCTTAAATTCTTAAAGGTATCAAAATTAAATGCATTAAAATTTTGATAAAATGTCGCATTCGGAAGTATGATTGAGTTTAACAATCCCTCCTCGATCAGGATTGAATACTAATCTGGAGCCGGTTTCTAGGGCTATGCGGTACACCCTGCACTAGCCTCATATCCCACGTTAAAGTATGAAGAATTTCATTATAGCCCTAGGCTATCCAGAGGAGACCTAGAAACCAGCCCCAAAATATAAACCAAATAATTTTCAAGAACAATTTTTTTTACCATTTTAATGCATTTTAAGATTATTGACCGAATGCAACATGTCCAGTTATATTTAAGTTTAAATCAGAAGCAATAAAAATTGATATTTCTGGCTCGTAAAATTGCAAGACTCATAAAAATTCTGATGCAAGTTACAGTGACGTAGTAAAGATGTTAAATGCATATTTTGGATATGCCAATTAAAGTATCAAGATTTCAACACTGTCATGTTTACCTTCCTTTGTGTATGTTGATTTCAGAAATGGTTGTAAACCTCACCATCCCTAGCCTGAATGTGAGGCTGCCACACTACAGGTATGTAAGGTTGTTTGGATATTCTTTTAATCTATCCTTTAGAGTACTTATTCCGGCACGAGCTCTGTTGCCAGCGGTGCATTTAGCAGTTTCAAGAGAAGGTATGCACTTGATATTTAGTCAGCTTCGGAGTCAGACTTCGGCTTTCCCAATCTCCCATTTCAAGACTGTAGCAAACCGAATTCTCCAATTAGGCTTGTTTGGACAAAATGAGCAAAAGAAAACCGAAAAATCTTGAAATATTAATGCAAAAAACACAAAATAAATTGAAGCAGCTCCAAATCATTTTGATGATATTTTTTTTTCATATCCTATGATCTATAAAAAGTATTCAGAATATAGGGCTAAGAAAAAGAAGTCATGAAAAATATAAAAATAAAATCTAAGCAATTTTTCCACTCCTTTCCATCTTCATATCTCAATTTTTCTTCCCTCCTTCCATTACGTTCTATCTGCAAAATATATATGTGAATAAAAAAAATTAAAGAAGTCCTCGTGTTATTGATCGAGGGAATTAAGCGCATTTTTGTGTTAGCGATCAGTATTGGATTATCATTTAAGGGTTTATCATTTAACGGTTTTTTGGAATTCAAGTTTTTTACGGGTTAAATAAAATTCGAATTTCTGGACGCACCCTGAATACAATTTTTACAACGGTAGAAAATAATGCAATTCTCTAAACGCACCCATCACGTGTTTTTCATATGAAATAAAAAAAAATCATTGATTAAAGTACAAATACTCTGTTTTAAGACTTTTAACTGTTCGGCCAACCAATAACTCGATAGAACTGAGCTAATAAAACAAACCCGAGCTCTCGACGATGTCTTGTTTAAAAGTTTTTCTTGCCCCGAACAGCCGAACAGCCGAACAAAGTGTATTAGTAAGCTATTTTTCAGAAACAAGTTTCAAAAATGTGCTAAAAAATATTCATAGACATTATAAGAGATAAGGAAGATGATAAGGAGCAACAAAAAAAAGAAGAAGTCGGCAATATTTACATATTATATACTTTATGGAGCGACAAAGACGATAAATGGTAAAGGAACGGTAACGGGAGATGTGAAAAAAAAAGAAAAAGAAGTCGCGTGTGTATATCAACCCTTTTTATGACTTTACTGGCTGATGCCGCAATGTAAAAATAACCATAATTTGAGACAACACATAAAGCATGTGAAAAATAACATTTCTATATCATACCAACCATGAACCGGAGGGCGAAAAGTGGTAATGGGAATAGTAGCAAATAATAATGGTGGGAAAAATGCTGCTAAGTTTGTGAGAATGGCGCAGTTTCATAGATAAAAATTGTGAAATAAAAAGAATATCAAACTTAACCCCAAACCCTCGTAAGCAGCCACATCCCCAACTAGCAATCACTCACACACAAAAAAAATGTATTCACATCACATAAAAAAGTCACTGATCCATAGCTGAAAATTTGATGTGAAAATAGTTGTGATAAATTGCGTCTCTTTCTAAACCATAAAGAACAAAGCAGTATCGTCAGATGAAATCATCTTTCATGCATCATTTGACAATTTTTTTTCATGGTTGTGTGCTAATTTAAGTTCAAACGGAGACACAAAGTAATGACAAATGTTTGGTGTGATGCATGATATGGAATTGTGGTTCAATTTGTTCATATTATTGGTGCTTATTTTGGGGGTTTTTTGCTGGTGGTTTGTTCGCTATTGAGGTTGTCCTGTACTTGAGAGTTTAAGTATCGATATCGAAGCTAAGGGAGCCCTTAGAAGGTTTGATGATTACAAATAAATAAGCTGGTGATGATTTTGTACACGATAAACCCCCAAACCTTCTGTGATCGACTTCATTCATGGTTTTTGTTGAGATATGATAGTAATGCTCTTATCAATGAACATACTGGACATCAGATTCAGCTTGTAGAGACAGAAAAGATTTTAACTTATAAATAGCATTTATCCATAGAGACATAGAGTTGAATAACCCTCGATAGTTCAGTTATAGAAGCATGTGACTGGAAATCCAAAGGCGGGGGTTCGAGTCCTGCTCGGTTTCCATTATTCTGAGTTATTATTTTCTTAGTTTAACAAAAAGAGAGAATATCACTGCTAGGACAGAAAACCAAGTTTGTTACACCGCCCTTGGTTGGAATCTGCAAGCGAGAAAACGTCCAGGAGCTTCAAAAGCTACCTGGCGAAGAATAGTGATGTAAGCTTAATGTGCGGACAGAGAAGTTGTAAAAACTAGGTGACAAAGCCAGCAACAGAGTCAGATGGACAGTCTTTTGTTGTAACTAAGTTCCATATATGTAAGAACATGGTTACATTAAATAATTAAGTTTAAAAACAGTTTCAGACGACCAAGAAGCTGCAAGCCAAAAGCCGTCCTTACTTGCTATTGCCAACATTAGCTACAACTATAATTCTTCACATAATTTACATTTTATAACAATTCTTCAATAATTGAACCTTCCCAATTGTGCAATCGTCAGACAAAGCAGCAATTCATCTTGAGTCTTATTGAAATTGAAAAATATGAGAAATAACCATAAAAATATTCCATCATAAACTACCATCGATATTAAATAGCACTCGAATTGGCATAATGATTCTTTAAGCTCCATAAACTTTATGAAATCAACAACCTTATAATGGCACTCAACATTGCAATACAAGTGGAAAGAAAAATTCAATTCTTATTTTCTATTTTATCGATTTGAAGATGGAAGGAAGCGAAATTGCCATAAATTCTTTACAGACTAAAAGTTTTCCATATTCTTGGATATTTCATCAACATAACAGATGATATTTCGATCGAATGAGGACAGAAAATGATGTCGAGGAACTCAAAATCGATTTCTGATTGATGTTAGTTTCGTCATTGAGCTGAAAAATTGCAAACTTTCTTATTTTCTAAGGATATGTTGGATGATAGAATTGGAAATCGAACGATTGCTGGATCCCTTCTTAATTTTACATTATAGTTGATTGGAAATGGAATAAATGAAGAGTTTCTCTTGTTAATGATATTGTAATAAAGTAAAAGGGGATTAGGAAGAGTTGGATAGGTTGGATAAAGCTTTATTAAGAAGTTCTGGAGGGTCCCTAGTAACCAAAAGGCAGATCAATGTATTCCATGAGAATCTTCCATGGATGATACATATGTATTATCCATGTATTATCCATTGGAAGATGATGTCCTATGGAAATGGAAGATAAATGGACAATGCAATAAGACATCAATGTAATACATCAAAGGAATACAAATGGAAAACAAATGGATTACTTTTGTTTTGGATAAAACACGTGGTAAATTACACGTGTTCTTTTATATTTTTCTTTTATTTGTGTAAATTATTGTAAAAGTATTAGTGTGTACTTAATTAAAGTACACTAACACTACGAAAAAGAACAAAAAGGACTTAATTTAATTAAGTCGCATACTGATGAACGCCCAAGACTCGCACACAAACCTGAGGAAGATAAACAATAAATTGAAAGTCCCATACAAATTTAGAGACAACTTATAATAGTGATTTCTTCGAGCAATTGTGAAGTATATGGCTAATGCCAAATTTAGAACAAATATTATTTTCCTGCAAAAAAATATTTTTTTGATGATTTTTCATAGGATTTGTTCCTAAGCAGGCTCGGGTAATACTTCGATGGAACACTTCTGTTACATGTTTGTAAAACAAATATTTTACATATAATAAATAACGATACATTTGATCTTCCATCGACGTCGAAGGAAGATTATATGGAACATTTTGGTTACTAGGGGTGGTGATGAAACAGAGTTGAATCTGAGGTTTCGAATCATATAAAGGCGAATCTGCGAGTTGGAGAGTGAGTTCTCTGTGGTGGGAGTGGTTTGGCCATAGACTGATATTTGTAACTCCCTTTTGTAGGGACGTGAGTTCGATTCCTACCAGAAAATCACCTCTTAATCATTTAATAGAGTGTTGTCGAGATAACTAGAGTTCTGCAATGTTCACAACATTACTGGGAACTTACTAGTATTCTATGAATGAACCAGCAGTCGGAAATAAAGTCAAAGGCTGAGAATCAGTGATGATGTTCGAGATCCGACCTCCCACAGCATTTAATAAATTTCTAGCTTCACATCTGGTTTGTAAGTAAACCAAACTCTTCATTTTTTGGCACTCACTTATTAATTGAAAAACTTTATCCTGTTGAATTTACGACTGCACTTCAAGTTGGGTATGATAATTATTTTAGTAAATATTTTAAATTCCAGGCATCAAAATCTAACGATATCCTTATTAAATATCCCAAAACTGCACCCACTAAATACTTCTCAGTAACTCCCAAAAGCTTCCACAACAGAATTCATAATT